ACTAAGCGACTAAGCGACTAAGCGACTAAGCAACATGTTAATAATAATACAAGATAATAATATTCTAAGATAATAATAAAATAATGAAATAATAAAATAATAAAATAATAACTAATTCGTTCTATAACACTATCATTGTCTGCATAGGGAGGAGAGAAGGCAACGCGGACTTCTCTAGGTTTAATCCACTGAACTATGAGATAAGAAATAGTTTAAATGCATCCACCTCAGATTTTATATAATATAAACTGTTATAACCCTTCATTTTGCTTCCGGTTTTATATTCACCTCGAATTTTTCAACCAAATACTGGAGAACAATATAAAATTGTTTCAATTTGGTAAGACTTTTATTTCTTTTTATATCAAATTTTTCGCTAAAACAGAAGCAGATCCTAGTCAAAAAAGCATACCTGGAAAAAGGTAAATTTATGTTTTTTTTTTTTTTTTTTAAAAAAAAATTGTAGTAATTATTTTATTAGATTCGGGTTGGACAAGACATCCAACCAGATTCCTGCCATAGCTGAAAAACAAATGTAGATGTGTTCTACGTGGGGATTGCCAAAAATATATGAATATTCGAATGTATTTATGTATGAAAGTTTAGCTAGCATTTAATCTTTAGGCGAGTATATATTAATTCATTTTTATTCGCTTTTATTTATTGATTTTAATTTTTTTACTTTATTATTATTATTTCTAAATATATATTTTTTTTAATTGGTAAATAGATACCGATTCTAAAATGACCATCAGTTTTTTTTTTATTCTTTTACATATTTTCTTCAACACTTAATTGATTCGCAATGATACTTCGTGACTCGTGAAATTCGTTATAATGAATGTCTAACAGAAGAACTTCACATATCTAAACAATATAGAAATAACTTGGAGATACAAGCTTGTTATGTCAAAAAGTTTATGAATAATCTGTGCTTCCACCAGGCTAAGTATGATAGTCATGAAAAAAAAAAACCGGAAAAATGTAAATTAATGCTGCTTTTTTTTTTTTAAAAAAAAAAAATTGTAGTAATTATAGATTCCTGCCATAGCCGAAAAACAAATGTGGGTGTGTTCTACACAGGGATTGCAAAAATATATATATTCGAATGTATTAATGTATAAAATTTAGTTAGCATTTAATCTTTAGGCGAGTATATATTAATTCATTTTTATTTGATTTAATTTTTTACTTTATTATTATTATTATTATTATTTCTAAATTTTTTTTCGCTTGTTTTTTTTAATTGGTAAATGGTAAAATGACACATGTCATTTCACGATTCACGAATCAATTCTGCAATTCAGTTTCTTTTTTATTCTATTATATATTTTCTTTAGCGCTTAACTAATTCGCAAGGATACTTCGTGACTCGTGAAATTCATTATAATGAATGTCTAACAGGAGAACTTCACATACCTAAACAAATATAGAAATAACTTGGGGAACTTGGGGATACAAGTTTGTTATGCCAAAAAGTTTATAAAATAATCTGTCTACCCATCAGGCTAAGCATGATGGTTATGAAAAAAACCTAAAAAAAGGTAGATTTATGTTTTTTTTTTTTTTTTTTTTTTAAAAAAATGGTAGTAATTATCTTATTAGATTCGGGTTAGACAAGACATCCGATTAGATTCCTGCCATAGCCGAAAAATAAATGTGGATGTGTTCTACGCGGGAATTGCAAAAATATATGAATATTCGAATATATTAACATATGAAAATTTAGCTAGCATTTAATCTTTAGATGAGTATATATTCATTTTTATTCGCTTTTATTTATTAATTTAATTTTATTATTACTGTATTATTATTATTTCTAATTTTTTTTTGCTTGTTTTTTTTTAGAATTGGTAATGGATATTGATTCTAAAATGATACATGTCATTTCACGATTTACGGATTAATTCAGAATAAACATAAATTTAGAAATGATGCAAAACATGAATACCAGAATATATTAAAATACTATGAATATAGTGAAATATATTGAAATAATAGTTTATGCTTTTAAAAAATAAAAGCCAATATGTAATTTTAATTGAAATATAAATCATATATGTTGCTAATTTATATACAAAATTTTCCGTATAATCTTTCTACTTGTAGCTATTTAATTAAAAAATAATAATTTTAATATTGTATGTTTAATAATTTGAATGCTAATAATTACTTACTTTAAAAAGTGATAACTTGCTAATAATGACCCCTTGCAACTAAAAATTTAAAACTAATATACCCGGCCCAAATCATATGTCCATGCATATCAGTTTTAACTTTCTGATACCAATCTACTACGACTTGTTTAATTTTTGGTTTGATTTCTTTCCGTATTGATCCCGGTGCCCATTCACGAGGAGGTTGAAATGTAACATAGGTTCGTTGTTCATTGGCAAAGTATTTAACTCCCCATTGCTCATCATTTAAGATTTGACTAAGCAAAGAATATGCATTGTCACCTCGAAATAAACACCTTACTCTTCCTGATTTTGAAAATCGACGATGGATATAGCCTTTGAATACACTATAAAATTGACTTAGTGTACAAGGCATTAATACTCTTTGTGAACCTGAACATGTAAAATGTGCTTTTAATCGATCTTGAATAATTTTAATAAAGATTTTTTTTAATTCTATACTAGCTTTTAAAGGAAGTTTATAAATGCCAGGAGGATTTTTGTTATAACCTTTAACAATAGTATGATGTTGCTTTAAGCCACCTTTTGTTTTATAGCATTTTTCGCAAACAGAGCAATGATATAAAGGTTTTTCTACTAATAGCTAATTATAATATATAACAAATTTATTGTTTTTTATAATATGTAATATATAAAATAAAATTATTAAATTGTTATATACATACAGACATTTTACAAAGCCAAATCTATTTAAATACGTTCTACAAACAAAATACAAGTAAATAAACTATTATATTAGAAAATATATATAAATTAAGCATACTTTTCACAATTAACAATTACCTTTACTTTTTTTTGATGGGTTCCAGGGACGGACAATTGGTTAGACGTGATAATTCATATATTAAAAATTTTGTTGATAACGATTTTAAAATGTAATAGCCAATTAGATGATTTGTTGATCAAAAAATAAACCCTAAAAAAAATGATTTACATAAGTTATTATTGTTATTGTATTTCCCCTCGAACTGCCTTAGAGAAGGGTATAGTTTCTTAAAAAGAAAAAGAAGCTATACTTACCTCTTGGACACCGCATATACCTACGAAAGGATTCCCTGTGCCGTGTCGTCGTTATAGAGTAAATTAAGAAGGCTTTACTCTGTAACAATATATAATATAAACCAAGTAAAAGTAAAAATAAAAAATTGTCAAAATCAAGCTTGTATATAAGAAATAGGTGTTAGAATTTTTTTTGAAATTTTTATTTTAGAAAATTTACAATACATCTAATTGGTTACCAGTTGCTATATATATAGTAAATTATTGCTTTAATAGTTATTGTAATAGTTTATATTAAGATTTGGAGTTATTTAAATCCTTAACAACTATGATACTAAAATTTATATATACTTTTTTATTATAAACACCAACTCTAATTTCTAATTTAATTATAAAAACAATATGATTTAAAATTTTTTATAATTTTACAATAAACTAAATTTTTAGTATAAGTTAATTATAGTATAAGCTGCCATGTTATACTGTATATTAATAAAATAAAAAAGTTAAATAAATACATAAAAAAAATAATACTGTACTGTACTATTATATTGAAATTATCAAAAATTAATAGTAATTAATGCCAGATGTTCTAAATAAAAATATACAAAGCCTCCAAAAATCTTATAATATCTAAAATTTTGAACCTTTTTACCTAAGTTTTATCTTATCCTATAATAACACCTAATCCCAAATTTTCATAGCAAAATTATATATAAGTACTGTCAAAGGAAAACCTTTTATCGGATTTTCAATTATATGGACTTTCAATTATATTTTTATGGAAAATCTATCAAGAGATTTTCGATTTACTGCTGATTAATAATAAAAGTACGAATTAGTAGTTTAAAATTTATCTAGTAGAGAACCGCGTTTTTTTAAAAAAAATGGTGCACTAAAAAAAAAAATCGTATTTTATGCACAAATATATAGCCCACGATTTTTATTTTTTGAACTAATGAAATATATTTACTAAAAATATCATCATGTATGAAAAAATACATTTTCTATAATCGAATCAAATCGAATCAAATCGAGTAAACCACATACTTTTTGCGATTTGCTTCGATCAGCAAATCACAGAATTTACACGTCCCTGCTGTACACAAAATATAATTGAAGGTCCGATGACAGGTTTTCCCTTGATGGCACTCATATTGTGTTAAACGGATCCGCCTTACTTTACCGACAATCAGTTACCAACAGCAGATTTAGCCAACATCACAATTTTTTTAGCAACATATACCTGCAATCAATCAATTGCTAACCCTAACCCTATGTGGGTTCTACCACAAAATCTCGAAAACCATTTTTCCGAAAGAACATAATACCGACTAAATTGGCCAGCATTGTAACTAATGCCGGCTAACTTTGTCGGTATTAGGTCCATTCGGGAATCTGTCTTTCAAGGTTTTGTGTTAAACCCCATGTGATATCGGCTAAATGAACTTTCGGTGAAATGAAGTGAGCAGCACCGATGTGATTTGTTGTGCTATCGCTATATTTTTAAAAATTTAATTTTCAAATGCTGGATAACTGTTGGTAAATGCAAAATCCAATAATAGAAAATACCGGATAATTAAGCAGGCATTGCCTGATAACTGGTTTATTTGGTCAAAGATTTACAAAAATCATTGAATTCAACTTCTTACAGTATTAGGCTGACTTTAAATCATTTGACCAAACAATTAAGCATAAGGCATCTGCATAACAGATTTATACGATAACTTATGATGATAGTCTGCCAAATAACAATTTTATTATTCGGCAACTAAGTGTTTCTGCCGAATAATAAATTCATTGGGCAGACGGATCATAATAAACTGCCGGATAATATATTCTGTCGGTACAGTACGATCATATTTTAAGTATATATATGCTGTAAGTGGAAGCGGAATTTAAGTGGATTCGGAATTTTCTATATAAAAAAAACCATTTTAGGGTTAATTTTATAATATGTATAACCCGTACCCTAACCCTAATTTAACTAAGAACTTCCGAATCCGCTTAAATTCCGTTCCTATTTACAACATATATATAAAGTATATATATATATATATATATATATATATATATATATATATAATATATATATATATATATATACTATATATATATATATATATATATATATATATACTGTATATATATTGATAATAAATATCCGGATATTTACAATTCATGTACTGTGAACCTCAAAACTGACATGTATGGTGGATAGGTTTTGTACGTATTAATATTGAGAGATTATCAGGTTTGAAAACATTATAAACTATATACTAGGTTTATATGATGGAAACGGACTTGGTAGATTAATTTTTTATCAGATTTGACAGGTTATCGATTTTTGACAGGGTCGATTTTGGGAGGTTCATCAGATTATCTCTAGATTAGCAATAAATTTGCAAGATTCGGAGTACTTTATTTAGTATCAAAGCTTTAGTAACTTAATGTTAAAGATTAAGATTCTAATTTTAACTGCATGAAAAATTTAAAGATTATTAGTATAAATTTCGGACACTGCCGCAATAAAATACAGCATATTCTAAATACAGTATATAATCGATATACTGTATGTTTACCGTTAAGTATATCAATGCTATATTGCCAAGATCACACCATAAATTATTCAAGTATATTGTTATCTCTATTTCTAACATCAAAACAGTGCTACGTAGTAATATTACGATAATCACATAACCAAATTCGAACAGAATTGCTTTATTTTAAAGAAAAAATATTATAGATGCTAGGAATAGCTGGACATTCTGATTATCCACAAATCAATATCCGGGTAAAAAGAATATAGCTATTATGAATAAAAAGAAATTTGATCTAAGAACTGAATTACAACTCTGTGAGGTGAACCATATATGATGTAAGAACCATTACGGTTTGTTTAAAATTTTAAATTGCCTGAATATTCATATGAAAAATCAGTGTTAAAAGACTTTCAAACCAATCCCGTCAAATTTAGCTTATTCTACTATTATATAAATTGCGTAACCTGCATACCGGAAATATATCACAAGTATAGGTAAAGTTTTCAAGTTAGACCTCATGTGGGCACCCTCACTTTAAAAAATAGCCTTTTTGCATACCGTCAACCATTTTAAGTCACGAATACACATTTCATATAAAAAAGAAATTTTGTTATTGTCATAAATGTGATTCATTGAAATCTTTTGTTATCTAAATTTATAATTCACACATTTCTGCATTTATCACGCTATTCAATGTATAATTTCATATACTGTATATCGATATATCAACAAAAGAGCTTTGTTCTTATTTGGAAGATCACATGAGTTATACAAAACATTTCAATTCATTCTTTTTCGAATAAACTTTGGCATAAATAAAAACTTAAAGATGACAGTTTCAGAGTTCAATGAATTTTTTCTAATGATTTTTCTTAGCGACATTCAAAATTGTGATAATTAATGCCTGATTATCAAAATTTGCATTAAACATTATGCGTTTTATATTAAATTCAAGCCATTAAAATTAAATAATTGATTGACCTAACAATATTCGTATTGGCACTTAACTTAATTGTGTGCTACCTTTACATAAGAAATTTCATTCGTGAAACAAAAAAAACTAATATAATGTTAACTCTGGCGATCAAACGAACGATAATTATACAATCAATTGGTCGAGCAGTAGATCACGATGCATGCATAGTTTTAATTACCGGTACGTAGTACTTACATGTATAAAACTTGTCTAAATGACCACGTTTTAGAAATAAATTACTGAATTAAAAATTCTTTGTAATCATTATTTTCATTCTTCGAACACCTGACAAAGAATTGAATTTTTAATATGAGAAAAAACAGCCTTTAGAAAGAAGTTTCTACTTGAGAAAACATTGAATAAATAACGAGCACTCCAGAAATTAAGGAGACTGCCTCCGAGATTATCAAAGTTTTCTAATTAATCACAAATAAATATTTTGGTTGAATATTTGAATTTATTACTATTATTATTATTATTATAATTATAATAATAATAATAATAATAATAATAATAATAATAATAATTATAATAATTATTATTATTATTATTTATTTATTTCTCGGCCTCGATCTCTCAGTCATTGTTACTCTTCGGGAAAATATAATTTTTGTACAATAGACTTTAATGAATAATTCAAAAATGTAAAAAATATAAGTTTCATATCTACTTACTAATTTACGAATATAGTATAAATGTAACATTCGACTCGAATTTGAAATGCTATCACTATCGCGAGATAAATTTGTTTTACCTCTATTAGGTAATATAGCATATTACGTATAAAGAGTGTTATCGGATATAAATGTCTTATTCACCGATTAGCATCCAAATAGG